ACCCGCCGACACAGTCCACCACGGCTGCCATGCCAGGTTGAGGCACACGCGGCGGCACCCGCGGCGCACGCCCGTATCCTCGGACCCTGGGTGCCCTCAGGAGCTGGCGAACTTCACTGGGGGGGCGAGAAGGGGCCACGAATCTGGGAGATCTCACGGCCCTGGCCATGACATGCATACTTACACACCCCTAGTCCTCGAGGCGAAGGATGGGCCGAAGAAGCAAGGATGAAAGGGTACCCTTGGAAAGCTGCACATCTGAGCATCGTTCAACCGGTCACTGTCCCCACTGGCGTGGCCTTGGCTCCACTGTCCGATTCAGTTACCCGCCGAGGTGGGGATATCTGACGCCTGCTCCTTCGGGCTTCGCGGGGCCCATCCCTACCTAGGAAGGTGGGCTGGTGGGGCTGAGATACCATGGCCCAGTCATTCTCAGGATCCTGCTCTAGAGGAGGAAAAAACTGCATGAACAGAAACTTTCGACGGTCCACGCGGCCCTCGCCGTGGCGCGCAGAGTACGCCAGTGGCGGCGCCAGAGTCGCCGCCAGAGGTGAGGGGCCCAGCGCAGATCCAAGGACCCCGCGCGGAGCTCCAAGAGTTTCTGTTTCGCAGTGCTTTCTCCTTCGATGCATGGCTGTGCTCAAGAGCAACCCGCGCGCCTGCCGGGCAGCCAGCGGCCCTGCTGCCCCTGCACACCGCTGCTGTCGCCGGCGGCCGAGCAGCCTGGCGGCCACGCCGCTGCCGCCACGAGCGGCAGGCTGTGCCCCTGCGGCGCGCCCCCCTCCGCGCGGGCGTACCCCGGGCCGTCCGCAGACGAGCGCCCCGAGCTGCAGCTCGAGGGGCCGGCGGGCGGCTGGCTGCGCCCCTGCGGCGCGGGGCCCTCGTCCGCGCGGGCGCGCTCTGGAAGAGGAAAGGTCAGCACAGCCACAGGCCTTCGGAGGTCCGCGCGGACTTCTTGGATCGGCGCTGGGCCCCCGCCCTCCCTGGCGCGCCGGGGGCGAGCGCCGATGCAAGAAGTCCGCGCGGACCTCCGAGGGCCTACGCGCGCACAGGCGTTTCTTCTCCGATGCCCTAGGTCTTCCACAAAAGGGCGCCCCGAGCTGCCCCCAAGCTCAAGCTCGATGGACCCGCGCCGCTGCGGCGCCCCATCGTGATCCGAGCGGGCGCGCCCCGAGCTCGAGGAGGAATGCCCCGCGGACTGCCCGCTGCCGCGGGCGGCCGTGCCCTCTGCGTCGCCTGACGGCCACGGCGCCTCGTGGCCCGCAGACGGCTGGCTGCGCCTCTGCAGCACCCGGCCGTGGTCCGAGAGGGCGACCTCTGGGTCGTCCCTGGACGGACGCCTCGAGCTACGGTTCGAGAAGTGCCCCGCGAGCTGCCTGCTGAGGCGGGCGGCCGCGTACTTTGCGTCGGATGGCGGCCACTGCTGCGGCGGCGCCGATGGCGGCTGGCTGGGCCGCTGCGGCACCCCGTCCTCGTCCGAGCGGGCACCCTGCAGGTCATCCCCAAACGGGCGCCTCGAACTGCAACTCGACGAGTGCCGCGTGGTCGTGTGGCCACCCTCGACGACGACGACGACGACGACGACGACGACGACGACGACGACGACGACGACGACGACCACGACCACGACGACGACGACGACGCCGCCGACGAAAACGACGACGACAACGACGACGACGACGCCGCCGACGACGACGACGTCGAAAACGACGACGACAACGACGCCGGCAACGACGATGACAACGAGGACGGCAACGACGATGACGACGACGACGACGACGACGACGACGACGACCACCACGACGACGACGCCGCCGCCGCCGACGACGACGACGACGACGACGACGACAACGGACGACGACGACGACGACGACGACGACGACGACGACGACGACGACGACGACGACGACCACGACGACGACGACGACGACCGACCGACCGACGACGACCGACGACGACGACGACGACAACGACGACCCCAGCGACCTCTGCACCTGGTGGGCGAAGCGGCAGCCTTGCAACTTTGGACCAGTGGGCGCCGGCACCGCCCTCGCCGTCCTCGTCGGCAGGAGGCGCCTGCACACTACCACCATGCCTGGTCAGGGCCACCCTGGGCTCCAGGACGGCGTAAACACCCACCTAGCCAAGGCCAGGAGGGCGTGCTCAGTCGAGCTACTGCCACAAAGAACGCTAAATGAGAAACGGAGCTGGTCTTTGGCCTCCAGAGCGCCTGGATGCACAGGGGACGCTGGATGGACAACCGTGCAGACACACCAGGGACAGCGAGCCCTTCTGAACCTGGGCTGCTCCTTCCTTCAGCGCCTTGACTGCGCACAGTCCCAGGGCACAGGATGGTACTGACCAGGGCATGGGCAGTGTGCGGGCACATTCGCGCTTTTGTCCTCGGCGTCGTGGGGTCGCCCGCCCTGGCCTCGCGGCCCCCTGGCCTCGCGGCGCGCGGCAGCCGTGGCGCGGTGCTGGTGCTTCTTGTAGCGGCTGGGGAGCCTCGGCTGTCAGGCGACGACGTCGGCGACGTCGACGGCGGCAGCGCCGACGACGCTGACAGCGGCGGCGACCAAAGACGGCGGCAGCAGCGGTGGCGACGAGGACGGCGTCGACGGCGGCGACGACGGCGGCAGCGGCGGCGACGACGACGCCGACGACGACGACGACGCGACGAGAAAGCTGGCAGCGGAGCCGCCGCAGCCGCCGCCGCCGCCGCCGCCGTCACCGACGCCGCTGCCGCCATCGGCGCCGTCGGCGTCGCCGTCGCCTCGACTTCGAGGGTGCCCTGCTGCCCTCGCCGTCGGGCGAGGCCCCGCCGCCGGCGGCCGCGTCCTCTGCGCCGGGCGCCATGCCCTCGCGCGGACCGCTGCGGCTGCAGCCGCCAGGCGCGCCGAGCGGGCCACCGCCCGCTGCGGCTGCAGGCAGGCGCGCTCGGCGCGCTTGAGCCATCATCGTCACGGGCCTGCTGCTGCGCCTCCGCCTCCGCCTCCGCCTCCTCCTCCTCCTCCTCAACCTCCTCCTCCTCCTCCGCCGCCGCTTTCGCATGTCCATGCACTTCAGCTCTGGCGTAAGCTTCGGCTGCGGGTTCACTTCGAAGCACCTTCGGAGCCAGCTCGCCCGTGTCGGTTTTCCACACCCTCCTCCTCATACTGTTCATCCCCCTCCTCCTGCTCCTCGACGCCGTGTTTAGACTGAACCCGGGGAGTGGGAGGGCGAGGGATGTGGGAGGACGGAGGGAGGAGGAGGGACAAGGGAGGAGCGAGGGAAAGGGAGGGAGGAGAGGAGGGAGCGAAGACGGAAGCGGACGGCGGAGGTGGACAAAGCACTTCATTCAGGCGAGTTGAGCGGCACGGAGCTCATTGATCTTATCGCGGTCCCGACTCTGGAACGTGCAAAAAACTGAGTAAGATCGCACCGTCTGCGAATCGGGATCGCAGCGGGGATGCATCGAGAAAGCATCGGGTACGCATCGGGGATTATCGGGGTCGCGTCGAGGACTGATCGGGATCACATCAAAAATTCATCGGGGATGTGTAAGGAATGCAGATGCATGTTTGTGGACAGCTCCATATACGACTTATGTGTATATGGTTACACCTGTGTGTGCTTAGATGTTTATCTACATGTATGATGTACGAGTGCATCGGGGAGGCATCCGGGATGCATCGGTGCATTGGGGGTGCATCGGGGACGTATCGGGGATGCGTCGGGGATGCGTCGGGCATGTACTGGACAGCATCGAAATTGATTGGGGATATCTCGGGGATGCATCGGGGGGGGGGGGTCCGCGGGGATGGCCAGCCCGCCAGGCCCCTCCTGTCGTCCAGGAGCACGCAGCCGACCCCTGGCTCGTCCCCGCCTTCGAACTGCTGCCATGTCCCTGGCGCGGGGAAGGGGGGAGGGGCGGGGCGGGGGGCGGAGGGAGACGAGGACGGGGACGCGGAGGAGGGTGGGAGGAGGGAGAGCAAGCGAGTCTCAAGTCTGCAGGTGGGGCACTGGCAAAGTCTGAAGAATATGAAGTGGGGCGCGCCAGAGGCGAACCCCATGTGGCAGACGGAGGAGAGGGCGGCGGGAGGAGGGAAGGAGGGAGGGGGGAGGGAAAAAGGCGGAAGGCGGAACGAAGAAGCAGGAAGGACTTCGGGACCCCGTGACCGGGCACAGCGTGCCGAATTGGGGGAAGGACGGGAGGAGAGACCGGGCGGCGCAGGCTGTGCGCCGCCTGGCCTCCCCTTCCCCCCCCTCTGCATCCGCTGCGCATACGCAAACCACATGCGGATGCAAACCACGTGCGGGTGCAGAATCCGCCGACCCTGTCGGCGTGTGTGTGAGGGGCTTGTCCGTTCGAGTCGTACTCCTCGTCGTTCATTCAAGGGGAGGTGAGAAAAGCACCCGCCGCCTCGGTGTGGCGCTCCGGCAGCCGCTGCTTCGACAAGAAATGAGGGGGGCAGGTAAAGTCCGCATCAGGGGCAGGCGGCGGCGGGGGGCGCAGCCTGCACGGCGGCGCAACACGCTGGCGGGCGAGCGAAGCGCGGGCGCGCAGGGGAGCCCCGGGGTCTGCGGGCTCTCCGGAGAGCCTCCCGAAGGCCCAGCGCGCTCGGCATCTCGGCATGATGCGTCTGGCGTGCGCCCTCGGAGCCCTGGGAGCTCCAGAGCTGAGTGCAGGGGACCGACCTCCGCGCACCACGGCCCGGGGGGCAGCCTGGCAGGCCTGGGGCTCTCCGCGGCGTCGGGGCGGCGCCCGCCGGCCGCCCCCCCCCCCCCCGAGCTCGGCGGCGGGATCCCGGACCCCCCAGAAGTGGGCGCACGAGGCATCGGCCAGCCGAGGCCGAGACCGACCGCGAGGATGGTGCAGGGGGTGCCGCACCTCGGCTGCCCGAGACGCGACACGCAACACGTGGCGTGCCGACACGGAGCTCAGCTCGCAGACCGACAATGCATCTGGCGCGAGACGCACGCGAAAGCGTGGGCCAGCACGCGCCGAACCAGCGCGCAGC